CAGGAATGTGACTGGTCTTGTTGCTGGTGAAGTCCCACAGAAACCTCTGAAGTGTCTGAACTGTTCGGCATATTCATAAATGACCTGGGTAAAACGAGGGGAAATTTAGTTAATGTTGAAGTTACTAACTTATGCAAGCTGTTTAAAAATGAAAGGTGGCATGAGAAGTTGAGAAAGATTCTGACAAATTACAGAACTGGAATGTAAAATGGCAAATGAAATGTGTTTGGACTTTTGCATAGTTTTTTTGCTATGGTTTCATGTTTTGAATGGGTCTCACTGATTTCTTCCTTCTCCTTTCCTTTTTTTTTTTTTCCCCCCATATTTTTATTTTGTCAGGAATTTGTGATACTGGTCAGATTCGAACTAGCACAGAATAAAAAATTTATGCTGTTTCCAATTCAAGAGTCTGGGTGGTTTAGACTTTCGTTCCTGAGGGGTACGTGTATGTCAGGGAATAAAAATAATAGTGTATAAAGGTTATTTTTACTGTAAAGCATTATGTGAAATGGCCCACTTGGCTCTAACTAGAACACTGACTACATTGATCATTACTCTCATTATATATTTCCACAGAATTTTCTATTTGTAGACCACTTGATACCATAATTTGTTCCTACATGATGTCTGGGGTTTTTTTTTTAACTTCACCAGGAAATACTTTCTACAGAATATCCTTGAATTACACTGTTCTGTAGCCTTTTGTGGTTCACTTCACACATTTATTTGTTTATTTTAATCAAAGTTCGACTATAAATGCGTGATGTCAAAATGTCATGAATATTTTCTATTTTCTTTTAGAGTAACATGCACAAGATGTATATTTGTACAGTAATATGTTAGTGATTTGAAGTTTCCAGTGGGGGAATGAGATCTGTACTTGCAGAGATGAGACTCAAGAGAACAGGGTTAGATGACTATCTCCATCATAACTGTGAGGTTAACATTGCCACTGGACTGTATTTTGCCAGAGATAAAGTTGACAATATTACAAGTGTGTGAACTAATATAATCATTTCATAGCAGATGACTTAGGATTTCCAAAAGGTCTATTTGTTTTCTTGTCATTCCAGTAGTAATTGTCTAGTTAAATAAAAATTATGAAAAATTGGTAAAGTATTCATTGACTATGCTTTGACTGTCAGCTTCCACAATGCATCAGTGTGCATAAATACTAAGGTGTTTGAGGAAAACTGACCTTGCAAGCTCTCAGTAGAGCTGATGAAATTTGTTTTAAAGGCTAGGCATCCTTATTACTCTTGAGGAAGTACACAGAGTCTTTTGCACACTAACAAAGTAATAAGTTATCTTTATGAATTGTTTCCTTGTTTTTCTCTTAGGCAAGCCATAACCGTTATGCAGACACAAAGGTTTAGTGTGAGGAGTCCCTGCCCATGGCACAGGGGTTGGAACTGCATGATCTTAAGGTCCTTTCCAAGCCAAACCATTCTATGATTCCATGATGATTCTATGATATTTTTGTGGTAGACTTCATCTAGAACTCTCTCCTTGAAGTTTAGGAAAGCCGAATGCCACAAACAGAGATGGAAACAAGCATGTAGAGTTAAGGCATTTAATGCTGTAGGGGAGGTTGTCATCATAGGATATGGGTATTGCATCTGAAGCTGTGGCTCTAGAGCGTGGTGTTCTTGGTTTTGGTTTGTCACAATGAGGCATGCAGCAGACAGAATGATGCTTCGAGTCCACTTAGTTCCTAGATGGCAATGCATCTGGAGAAAAAAACTCACACTGGCATTGATTTATTCTCTTTTCAGATTCTTCCTGGACAGAAAGGCATATTTCTTAAATAATAGAGGGGAAATTACCTTCTTGCGCTGAGGATTAGTAAAATCTAAAGCAGAGTGGTGTGCAGTACTAATATTTCCAATTTGCAATTATAGCAAGTGAACTCTCTTAGCAATAAAACTAAAATTGGCAATTCTTGTAGCATATTGCAGGTCCATGGGATAGTTCATGATAATGTGCCAATTTTGGCTCAAAGTTCCCTCGAAAATGCAAAATCCCTAAATATTTGAAAACTGCCAGATATTCTGGTAATTATTTTTCCTGGGAACTGTCATCCCAGAGCAGAAAACAAGTTTGCAAGCCCTGTGTACAACTGTCATGGTTGTGATAACATATTTTTCCTTTTAATCCCAGCTTTCTGGCATGGCTGCAGGTAAGAGCTGAAGAGAAGCCCTGAGAACTTTTAGGAGGTGAAGGAGAGAGTGTTTCTGAATAGCTGTACCAAAAGGGAGATAACAGAAGAACTTGGGATTCAGGAAAGTAATGGTGCTAAATGCTGTAGTGCAGGTTATCATATTAGAAATTCCTGTAGAGTTCTCCAGAATGTTTCTGCAAGTTTCTTCTCCTTTGTACTGGAGACCACGTACTCTGTTCCCAGAAACTAGAACACCAAAACATCCCCTTTTGTGCTCAGAATCTGTTTGGAGCCTATGGAAATTTCAGTTGCAGTTTCTACCAGCAAGAGAAGCCTTAAAGCAAACGTAAGACTGATTACCCAAGGTGCATGCAGGGAGAGAAAAGAGCCCTTGTAGTGCGTGTTCAAGAAAACATATGAACAGTATTCCAAAAAACAAATTTAATGTTTCTCTGTCTTATGAAATGGTTTGATTTTTCTAATATTTGGAGGGGTTTATTTTTTTATTTTTGT